AGATAAACATTAAATTTCATAAGAGTTGTTGTTTGTATGTAAAGAGTTTTTGGTTTCCAATTACTGTAAACATTTTAAATTTGCAATGATTTTCATTTTATTTCAGTAGTATTTTTATAGGCTGTTTCTGTAATTGTAATGATTTTCACTTCAGTGACAACAGTATTTTGTAGGCTGTTTTGTAATTTGAAGTTAGTGTTAGCTCTACATTTCAGTAGTGTACTGCATTTATATGAATATACTGTTTTTCGATTTGAAATTGTAAAAAGGTTGACTTGTCTGTACATGTATTGAAGTTTTCTTTTCTTTTTCTACTTAATTACTTTTGTAAAACAATGTTAATTACAACCTGAAGAAAGTTACTTCAAATTCAATATAAATTATAAACAGTTTTATTAATTAAGTTTTATTATTAACAGTTAAAGAACAGGATTCTTTTATATTTTACATTATTTTTATTCATAAATATGAGCTATGAGCTTACTAACACCATACATTCATTAAGCTTAATATTTAAATTACAACTTGTTTATGTTATAATGCCTGAATGTATACATTTTGTCTGTATTTAACATTTTTCTATCTTTGTCGATTGTCAAGTCGGACTATTGGATAGGCTTATCTTCATGAGACTTCTACGATGGGATGCCTTGTTCGAAGCAAGAAATCAAGTTGTCTTTACCCAGTACCGCTCGTTTATTTTATTCGTGTGGGAAATGTTTAACCTAGGCTAGTTACCCTTGAGGTCTTGACTTCGATTCCACCCCAAATCACTTGATCATTTTAATTAACAAGTGTGGGGATGTAAGAGACTGTTCAGTTCTTTCATGATTAAATATAAAATATATTTAAAGAATTGTTTGGAGGAAATTGTTAGTTCTAGTTATAGCAGGGGTTGTCGCGTGCCGGAAAAAAAATCACTGACGGGCCACATGCGGCCCACGGGCTGCACTTTGCCCACTTGAGTTATAGAATGAAATAGAACTGTTACTTAATAACAAGTTAATCAATAAGTGCTTTCTTGTTATTCAGTTTACTGTAGATTCACAAAAAAAAATTATCATTCAAGTTTAAACCGGAAAACATTTCTTATGGCTACTCAATCAAAAGGCATTTTTTGTGTCCAAATTCAAAGATCTCTTTTGATTTTGTTTTCCGAAAGTATTCGTGAAGGTCAACTGAGTTCCTAATCAGAATCATAATCTGATTTTTATCATCCCCACACCCAGGAAGCGATGGTATGTGAAATCATAGGGGTGTGGTCTTATACCCGAGATGGGTTTACACCAGTACTGATATTTTTTAAATGGTAAAAGCTGGCATAAACATTGCTATTATTACTTATGTGTTTTTTTACCTTACTTAAAAATAATACATAAACTAAAATAAAAAAAACCAGTGTAATCATAACACATTGATATGATGGAATTTAATAACAACATCCGATTGAAAGTGCAACTAAAGCACAATTAGATACAAATTTCCTACCAGCAGCTTTCACTTTAGGTTAGATGCCACATGTTAAGAAGCAGCAACAGCTAAAACAACAGACTGAAAAATGCATGGGATTCAGTAACTCTTAAGTAATATCATATAGTAGGCAGAACATTTCCCAATACTTCAGAATGTGATTGTTTAAAAAAATTACCAGTAATTTAGAAACAAAAAGAATGACATAATGTACGGAATAGCGACAGTTTGTTTGAAACTTATGTGACCGGCTCTGGCATTACCAGCAATTTGTAGGAAAAATTCAAAATTGAGGTTTTGGTATTTCAGATTCTGCATGAATCCTTCTTTAAAACAGTGTTTATTTAGTAGAGTAATCAAAGCTATGAGTATTCAATTCATTAAATATTAGCCATGTAGGTTTTGAGAAAACAGCTTACAAAGCAGGTTTTGTCGGCGCTGTTCATAATTAATAATTTGTTTCTATAATTTTAATCGCATTACAGACTATAATGTCT